TCCTCAACAATTACATCACTCCTCTCCTTGTTTATAGGTCTTCTCTTTTGTTTCACAGGTCGAATTGATGGATCTATGCTGAGGCGATGCGTCATAATTCGCGGGTCAATGCCAGGCATGTCCTCATGGGACCACGCAAAGACGTCCGAGTTGGATCTGAGGAAGTGGATTAGCTCCTCTCTGTCGGTGGCCCCCAGCTTGGTTCCTATGCTTACCTGCTTCTCGGGACTAAGCAGAGGAACAAGCTCGAGCTCCTCAGTGGGCGCGGCAAACTCCTTCCTCGGCAGGTCGGCCTCGAACTCGAGCGTCCCATCCCTGAGAGTTTCAAGGGCGCAGACCGATGGGCCTTTGAGTGCGGCGACATAACACTCCCTCGAAGCGGCTTGTTCTCCTCAGACCGTGCCCACGCCGTTGGGGGTGGGATACTTCAAAACTTGATGAAGTGTTGAAGGAATGGCCCGAAAGGAGTGGATGATGGGTCTCCCAAAGATGGCGTTATAGGCCGACCTACCGTCAACTACCACGAACTCAGCCATTTGGGTGACCTGAGTTTGGTCCTGCCCAAGCGTGACCGGCAAGTCGATGCAACCCTCCGGGATGACCGATTCTCTAGAGAACCCAACCAGCGGTGTCGGGACCGACGGTTACACCCGATAATCACGCCGCTGACAGTAGCTCACATCGGCCCCCACCGAGCTTCCCGGTAGGTTGGACCTCGGCCAGGTTCACCTCGGCCCTCATACTTATGGTGGTGATCTCGGCCGTCCGAGCTGGGCATGACTCATGAGTCATCTTGGAGCACCAATAGGGGTCCTCCACGTGTCCAGGGTATTCTCTTCCCCAAACATAGTGTAAGTAACTTAATTGAAACTTTTTATTCCTATATACAATTCAAAGACGAAGTATGCAAACTTGTCAGAACAGGGAGTCAACACATCTCCTTATGATTTTATTTTTGCTTTTCTTTTTTCTTTTTTTTGAAAAAAATTCCAATTCTTAAACCTTTTTTTGTTAATAATAAATTTGAAATGTGTTCTCAATTCTTATATATAAAAGAAAGCCAAGAGCTAATAGAAAAAATATGATAACATATAAATTAAATATGTCAACATTTTCATTGTCTTTTTTATAGCTAGGTTACTTATGGAAACATAGGAGTTCTTGATGAAACATGTGGTGGACTTGGTTGCAATGTCATAGAGTCAAAATTTAGAAAGAAATATATAATATGTGGCAAAAATAGAAATTAATTTGCATATCTTTTTCAACATACAGAGATAGAGATGTGTGCAAGGCATATTTGATGACTTGAATTAAAAATATTAAAAAATTAATAATTGATGATTTTTATTTTTAAAATTTTCCCAAGAGTTTGAAATTGTCCATATTTACAAGCCTTCTATAACAACTCCTCTTCTTTATTTCCTATAGATTAGAAAGATTTGAACTAAAAAAAAATATTACTTTGACTTTTAATTACCATATCATTGTCATTTATATAAATTAAACCAATAATTCTAATTGTTCCTTAAATTTTAACATTAATTAAATAATAATCAGTCATAAAATTTTTTCTTCATAATCAATTAACAAAGAAAGATTGTAGAATACAAAGAGCCATGTGGTTGAACTTTGACCTTTAACAAACCACTATAATTATAAAAAAAAAATAAAAACTATATAATTTATTTAACTATTTATATTTTTCTTAGAGAAGATAAGTATTTTATTTAATGGTAAATAAATTATTGTATAATGTCATGGTGTGGGTCATTTTTAACTTGAATTTAAGTTTAAAATATGTTGAAACATTCAATTTCGTGTTTTTAATTGCACACAACTTTTCCCATTCACCTCTATTTAAAAATAGAAAAAGGCAATTCCAATCTCTTCATGATATTTCTTGATATCACGTAATATCAATTAAAACTTTTTTTATTTATTAACAAGTTATTTTGCCTAATTTTTACAAACATTTTTATGAACTATGGCTAATTATTTTAATTAAAAAAATTATATTTTTGAAAATGTATGTAGTTACGGTCCACACCTATTTTTTACTGACTACTATTGAATTTTTTATAAGTAGGAGATAGAAATGGAGAAAAATATTTTTTCCAAAAAAAGAAACTAAAAATCGTCAAATTTTTATTGGGGATCAATACGAAGATGCGTGCTTTCCAAAAAGGACAGTTTCTTAAAATTTTGAAAACAATTGTATAATATAACTCACCTTGCCCTGTGCCTCGACCATTTCCATTACCAGTAGAATTCACATTTGCAACTTTAATCCCAAGCTTTGCACAATCCGATCCAATTGTACCTATAAAATAACAGAACAAATAATCAAGAAAAGTACAATAAAATCATTTTCTAACCTCCAACCATGCATATGAATATATTCACCTACCATAATAACTCCGAGAAACAAACGACTTTAAAACTACAAAGAAAGAAAGAGATGACACGGGCCGTCTCTTAGAAAGAGCCGCTAAACGATCAGACTAGATAGGTGCAAGTAGCTTTGAAACTTGTTCCATTGTACTTATGAACTACTTATCGCCTACTAAATCTCTTTACGTCGAAAATCCTTTTGGTTTAATTTGTCCCATCAATCTTATGTCCTCCAAGTCGCATAGTGTCACAATCTCATTCATCATTTTGGAGATCCATTGATCACAGACGGTATCTCCCCATGACCTTTCGCCTCTGAACTCCACCATAACCCAATGCAAATCAAATGCATTGACGTTATGAAGTTCTAGATCTTAATGCTCTCCACCCGTGTTTCTTAATTTAGTAAAAAACGAGATGGTTGGCCTTTCACCCCTAGCCCCACAAGTCATCGGAGAACAACGACAAGTATAAAGACTAAAAATCGAGACAAAAGTGAAATTAAAAACCGACTTAGAAAGCGGTCGGAAAATGATGAAATAATCTTACAATCACTGTAGCAAGGGAAGGCAGAGGTGTTGAGGAGATTGTAGTAGCCAGGGTTGCATGAACATGTGTGTGTGTAAGTTTTGTTCTTAACACACTCTCCTTCTCCACAGTAAGCCCAGTAGCAAGCTGCAACAACCAAAAAGAAAAATTATCATTTAGTCCCTGCGAACTCACTCGTTTTCAATTTGATCGGTATAATTTTACAATCTTTTAATATAACCTCTATACTTTAACTAAATCTTTCACATTCTTTTAACAATGTTCTTTTTAACGAGAAACTTAATTAAATATAATACTAAATATATATTTTTATAATATTTGACTATTTTTTTAATTTAGTTCCTATTGTTTTTAAATTTTCAATTTAGTTCGGTGTGTTTTAAGATTTTTTAAGTATATTATTTTTGTTAACGAAGGTTAAAATTGACTGATATGATGGTTAGTGAGTTAGGTAGAAATTTAAGAAATGTATTAGAAGAGAAAAGTTCCTAATTCCTCCTATTTTTAAGAACTAGTAAAAATTTCTACTTTTTATGTCTTAATTTACCTAATCTGTTTCTCTAAATTTCAGGAAAAATCGTTAAACATTATCTCATGTAAATCTATCATGAGATCATTTTAGCATTCACGAATTAAAAAAGAAAAAGTATATAACTGAAAAATGTTAATAAGTAGGAAACTAAATTGAAAAATTTGAGAAACGTATATTTAGCCTAAATATAAGGACTAAAATGAAAAATATACGGCACAGCAGAAGTGGAGAAACCGCTGCAAATTTTGCGGGAAAGCGAGGAAGAAAGAAAATTGGAGGGGATTTTCCGGGAAAATGACTTACGATCGAAGAAGGAGGAGTTTCTGGGAACGGTCTTGTCCGGCACCGGCGGCGGCGCCGGCTGGCAGCCGTAGTTGAGAGAACCTGCAGAAGAAGAAGAAAAACAGAGATCGGAACAGAGAATCGCCATGGAATTGGATTCAGAGAGATTAAATTATGTAGAGAGAGAGAAGAAGTACAATTAGGAATGACGCAAGGGAGGAAGGTGAGATCGTCGTCGTTGTCGCGAGTCCGCTTCCAGCCGGAATCGCAGTTGCAGATGAATCCGAACGGATATCCGGCGTCCGCCGTGCAATTTCCCTTCCCGCAGTTCACTTCTTCGCACACTTTCTCTGCAAATTTTCAAACAAATAAAGGTAAATAAACCTCAAGTTTCKTTAAGATTTCTATTTCTTGTTTTCGAGTCATTCAGTTCTGTTCTAATTTCTTAAGAAATGTTTTCAAAAGGGTTAGATTCAATTTTTTTGATGTAGGGGATAATTGAACCAGCTCTCGATCTTTGGAGAAATGATAATATTTCTTAGCTCACTATGTTCGTGTTGACAGTCTTTTTAAATTTAGTTTGATAGATAAATCGTCTAAGGTTGAATTCTCTACTCTCATTATTGTATTATAAAAATCTCTAAAATTATACATAAATTTTTAAAACAACAAAAGTCTATCGGAGAGCCGAGGAACAATATTTCTATTGTTTCTCAGTTTCTTTTTTATCATTGTTTCTTGTTTCTCGTCTTTAAAGAAAATATTTCAAATTTGTGTACAGATTTTTAAAATTAACAAAACCTTTTTTTTTCCTATTCAATATCTAAATGTTTAAAAATATAAATAAAAAGATTAGTTTATCATTTTTATAACAAATACATTAAAAATAATGAAATATACTTAAAAAATAATTTGAAATATTTTGTTTAGAACATAGACAAAAAGTTTTATTTTTCAGAACAAAATTGGTCTATATTCTCTTTCCAAAAAGAATAAATCAAAAACTGGGAAACGAGAAATACAAAGAGATGAGACTCACCGAAGAACGGAAATGGTCCGTCTGCCATGACAGCACCGATGGAAACCAATAGAAAGAGGATGGTGAGAAGATGAGTAGCGCGATGAGAGAAAGCTGCCATGGCTTCCTCTAGAGAGAGAAAAAAATGGAGGAGAAAGAGAGATGTATAGAGTAATAGGAAGCAAAGGATATTATATATAGAATAATAGAGAAGAAGATGAAATAATGGGGGAGAGTTTGAAGTTTTCAAAAGAGTGGAAGATGATTTCTTTTTTATATATTCAAGATGCCTTAAATGAGTTAGTTTTAGCTTCTTTGTCTTCTCTCTAGAAAATTTCAATATTATTCTTTCTTTCAAGTGTCATCATATATGAGTTTGAGTAGAAATAGAATGTTTGAAAATTAGGGTACAATATTTGAAAATTTGGAAAAATTGGTGTCTACCATATACAAATTGTAATATATATTACAGATATCACGAGACTTTGGATTTATTTGGTAATGTTTTGATTGGTTGTTTCCCGCTTTTCGTTTTTAATAAATAAAAATAAAATTGGGTTTGAATAGCTGTTTATTGTTTTCTTTTATTTTTTTATTGGAAAAAATAAAAAACATGTGTTTGGTTATCATTTTTTAATTAAAATAATTAATTTTTGAAATTAAATATTTAAAAAAAATTATGCTATATTTATCGTTTAATATTTATTATGAATTTTGTAAGTAAAAAACAATAAAAATTAAACCTTGATTTTGTTGTTTCCAAAATTTCTAGAAATGTTTCTTTAGACGAGAAACAATAAATAACAAATGTTACCAAACGCGTATATTTGGAAATGAGAAACTAGAAACGAGAATGTTACAAGACATGTTCTTCGTGATCATTATCTATTTTAGTTTTTATTTCAAGTTATGACAACAATCTACTTAAGTGTCATCTTAAATTACAATGACGGTTTAACATTGTCACTAATAATATGTTACGACTACTTCTAATTTATTTACAGAAGTGTGGGTTTATTAATATTTAATCATAAGTATCTTCAAAAGAAAGGCAAAGATTATAGGAGGATGATAGATGTGTGGTTGTATTTATATGGCACTCTTTCTAAGTAAATTGATTAATTGTGTGCTTGGTTTGGAATGTGTTTTATATTTTCATACAAAAATTGTACAATTATAAACTTTGTTATAAAAAAATGTAGTTAAAAATTATAAAATACATAATAAATACTTAAATTTTGAATATTTATTTTTAAAAACATTTTTTTATTTAAAGTTTGATCAAACAAGGAGCTTACTAAATAAATCTTTTTTGAATGAAAATAAATAAGTAAACAACGAATAATTATCAAACTCTTTTTTTTTTCCTTATTCTTTCTTAAAAAGCACGAAACAAAAGACATAAATTAAAAATAGGAAATAAGAAATAAAAATATTATCACATAGGTTTTAACTGATCATTCGAAACAAATTTAATAGACAAAAATAAAAAGAATGACGTGCAATGTAGGTACTAAAATAATAATAAATAAAGGGTCGGGAAATTGAATATTTAGGATTTGATAAACAAGTCAAAGTATGTACAAGAAAATAGGTCAATAGCACAAAACTTTGGTTTAATTATGAAATAAGGTTACAATAAAATTAAATTCAAAGACATTTGGTTTCATTACCTTTTTTAGTGTGAGATATAACTTCAATATTCAACTACAAGGCTATCAAATTTAATTATTATGGTAGCCAATTGGTCAATAATTGAGGCCCTTTAATTATTAGTTATTCCACCTAAAGTAGAAGCTTGCTTCCAACATCCTTAGGCCTTAAACCACTTCAAGTTTTTTTTTAATATATATATATATATATATATATATATATATAATGGTATAATTATTAAGTTAAATTAGGTAAAAATTTAGAGCCTATTTAGTGATGTTTAGTAACTGTTCATGTTTTTCCTTTCTCAATTTTAAGAAAGATTTTTAAGAAACAATAAAATTGAATTTATTACAGTGACACACATTTTCTTTGAGAGTGGATGATAAATTATTAGAGCCCAACACAGATAAATATGTACAAGAAATTCAATAGATGAGTATCTATAAGAAATTTTTACAAGCAAATTTGAAATGACTTTATTTTTTAGAGTAGTATAAAGTGAAATGCTTCTAAAAAAACTTTTAGAATTTTGTTTTAAAAAAATAATTAAGTATTTTTAGAATTTTTAAAATTATTTTTACCATTTAACCCAACATAATACAAAATTTGAAAAGCGTCTTTTTTTTTTTTTGTTTTCATTTCAAACTTGATGGATATTTTAGAAAAATATTTATAAGTAGAAAAATTCATAACAATATTTAAATTAACAAATAAACATAAAATAAGTTTAAAATTTTATTAATACTAATATTATATCCATATTAATGATATTTCATTGAATTATATTTTATACTATGAAAATGTCGATTTACATTCTCGTGTCAATACAGACACATAAAAATATGGATGGAAATCGAAATTTAATACCTAGTAGTCCAAACTATTCAATACATTATAAATCATTGATTCAATAATTTATATTATTGATAAATTATTATCGATTATGGTTATACTTATATTATCTTTTTAACTCTTTAAATTCATTAGCTCACTTTATCTTCAATCAATAACTTACGACACTGACTGTCCTTTGGTGGACAATTGCAAATTGAAGGTTCAATTTTGTTTGAAATTAATAAAATATCAATTTTCAAATTAAAAACTTTTGAGCCCTAATTTATTAAATAGTTAATAACTTGAGGGGTGAAATGTAAGTTTTATAACTTCAAAAATTTTGGGATTAATTCATATTAAATTTAGTCCGTAGACATGTTTGATTTTTCTTTTCCCAACTACCCTTGCCATTTGGGTCATTGAGAATAATTGGTGTTTCTTATTCGAATGAAAATGTAATAAATATTAAATACTTTCAAAATCTTAACAACACTCAAACTAATTTATTTTAATCCAATTCCAATTAAGTTGCAAAGTTCACTTAATATTGGCAATGAAAAAACTTATTTTAAGTTTACTTTTCATTTTAGTACTTCAAATTTTTTCTTATTTCATTTTAGTCCATTTACTTTAAAGTATTTTATATTTGTTCCCTAAATCGTTATAAGAGATTTTATTTTTTTAATTTCAACTACATGTAAGGGTGCACATTCAAACTTTTGACATTTTGATCGATAATATATATCTTAAATAGTGAGTCAAGTTGTCAATTGTCATACTCTTATTAACATAAATTTTAGACCACTTGTTTTTCAATTTGCGACGACTCCAAACGCAATGAAAATTAGAAAACAATAATGATTTTAATGGATCATTTAGAAAACAATGATTTTAATGGATCATTATGTAAAATTTGGAGACTAAAATAAGGATTTAAACCATTGGTTTACAAGTTTCAATCAATATGAAAGTTATGATCCCTTCAAATTCTTCATGATTGTGGCAAATGGCTAAACCATAGAAAAAAAAAATCTGCAGGCCAAAGAAAAAGTGGACAAACAACATAAGAACACAAATCAAAAGAACAAAAAAAGTCAAATTAAGAAGAAAAAGAACATTGGTTTAGAAGTCAACAGTTCCAACAAGTCATGTATAAAAATGGAAAGAAAAAAAAGTTTTCTTAGTCCCACACCATTTTGAATTTGAAGATCAAAATTTGAACTTTTTGAAATTATTTCAAAAACCCATTTGAGATTTTTCTCAGCCAAGATGAGGAAGGCAGGAAAATGGATAGTGAATTTTCTTGTTGGGAAAAAGGAAGAGAATCCCAAGAAGAAGAAGAAGAAAATTGGTTCTTATTCTTCTTCTGATTCTGAAAATTTGAAGCTAAAATGGAGTTTTAGAAAGTCATCAACCAATAACAATCTTCTTCTAACTCACAAGCTTTCTAAATCTGTTGACTCCATTGACACCATTGAAGCTCTGAAGCAGGTGGCCATAGCAGCACAGAGGAAGCCACCATCAGATGTTCAAAACGCTGCTGCTACGACGATCCAGTCCGCGTATCGGTCTCATTTGGTAACGAGTTTTTTTCCTTTCCCCTGTCTACGGTTTCTCGACTTCGTGTCTTTCTATTTATGATGAATTACGATTTTAGTCTCTGTACTGTGTTACTTGTATTCATACTTTTATTTGTTCTGGGCTACGTTAGCTTCGGTTTAGTCTTTTATGGTAATTATGCACTTAGATATAACTGAAAAGTAAAGTGGCATCACGTGAAAGTTGACACGATACTTTGATTTATCATATAGACGTTGGAGACAAACTATATTAGTTTTCTCGTAATGCATGTTGTACGAGCTTTTTACTTACTAGTGTGGATTGTTACATTAAATACATGGATTAAAGTGGATTAAAGTAAAATGCATAAATAAAAAAACCTTTTTTTACATGATACTTGACCCAACAGGTCTTTTCTGACTTTATTTTGTGTGTTTTAGTTAAATTTTGCAATAAAAAATTTCACCCAAAAGTTGTGATTTGATTATGTTGTTGTAGGCAAGGAAAGCATTGCATGCTTTAAGGGCACTGGTTAAGATACAAGCACTTGTGAGAGGCCATCTTGTGAGAAAACAAACGGCTGCTACCCTGAAGAGCCTGCAAGCTTTGATGGCAATCCAAGTTCGGGCTCGGTCGAATCGGATCCAACTGCTCGAGGAGGAAGAGCTTCTCGAAAGGAGTCGACATAGACATCTTGTTAACATCAATCTCGAAAAAGCATACAAAGTAAACTTACGATTCATCTCATAGCGTTTTCTACTTACTAGAAAACTTGCACGAAAACGTTCATTCTATGAGTACCCATTTCACTTCGTTTATCGATTTTCTTGACTTTTCTTATTCAGGAGAGGTTGTACATGAATCTCAATGAACATTGGAGACCATATAAGAGCAAAAGCAGCCATATAAGTCATTCTCAAATCGAACTGATAGAAAATGAGCCTAATGCATATATTTGTAGACGAAATCTTTCGATCCCAAAGAGGCAGCATCGGCACAAAAATGACTCCATCCCTATAGAACCGAACACTTCCGAGTACTATGTTTTGGTGTCCAAACCAGCTGCTGAATCAGCCTTATTTTCCATGGATCAGCCAAGGAATTCAGACTCTATGCCTCATGACTATCCCTTATATCCACATTATATGGCTAAGACGGAATCGTCCAGGGCAAAAGTCCGATCACAGAGTGAACCAAAACAACGACCACCCGGTTCGAGCATATGGATGAAGAGCAAGCAAACAGAAACAGTTGGCAGAACGAGTTTGCCAATGAATGATCAAATCCAAAGCTATTCACAAAACCTGAAGCATAAGGGTTATGAAAATCACAACAGCGGTTGGTTCATGAAGCTTTATCAGTTAAAAAAAGCAGCAAAGACCAGAGATGGTGACTCTACTAGCAGCAAACTTAGTCGTCCCGACGACCTACCTTGATTATCTAGCTTAGTTCCATCGAAATTGATCGGGTTTCTATGATATTCTGTATACTTGATCGGGTTTCTATGATATTCTGTATACTTGAAATCACTATCGATTCCTTCGTAATGACAACGGAAGAACAACTTCAATTGTCTTGGAGAAAGCAGTAAGAAAGAGTGCAAATTTTTCATCAAATGGCTAATTTCTTTTCGAGACCAAAAAAAGGCTGTTTAATTTGAACTCTAACTCCCAAACAAAATCCTAATTTATCCATTCTGAGTTCATTTCTACTCGAAACAATAGAACAGCCACTAAAACTGAGACCATCTTACCTATCTGAACTGCTGTAAATTTACATTCCTACAACAGATATGTTGCATATCAGCTACTACTAATGAGCTAAAACTATAACAAATAACCGCCACTCGCTACATCGTCTGTCAAACTAAAAGAATTTTAATCTACAATAAAAAGATATTTTCATCTCCTTCTCAGTATCTGCCTAAGTGACAATTATATCTCGAGAAAATGCCCCGACTCTAGATCATATGCTAAGAAATTCTATTGCAGTTATGCTATCATACATCGAGAGCGATTACGTTTCCTGCTTGATAGTGTTCTCTTTGAAGCTCTTACTCAACCAGATGGCAGTTTCCCTTGGGGAGACCTTTCCGGGCCCGAATGGCTTCAGCAACACCCCAAGCTCCTCGTACCTCTCCTGCTGCAGCAATCTCGCACTAAACTCGAGCAGCCCTTCCAAAGCCTCAGCTCTCTGGTGTAACGACGATGTATCGAAATGGCATCGCCGTAAGTCGGATGAGGTATGGCTTGATGCCCCGGCAGTTGCATTCTGATCGGAGGAATCACTTCTTGCCTCTCGGTCGTCTTGAAATAAGCTGCATTGAATACCCTGCCATGCGTTGGTGTAACCAGGAGTTGAACAAACCTTGTCACAAACTTGGATCGTACATTTGTCTTTGGTTATAGAACAATCGATGTGCTGCAAGGAGCTGGTTGATCCATGCATGGACGGCAGCGAAGCTCGGCGAACGGGAAGAAAAGTATCGTCATATGATGCTAGAGGGAATTCAGCAATCCTGTCGATTCGAGGAGAGTTCACTGAGACATCCGGGGATTTGATATGATGAAGAATACCGACATCCTGTCTGCAAGGGCTTTGATCAGTGGCAGCTTTTGTATGCAATGGGAAAGACGCTCGACGGACATGAGATTTATTCGGAGTAGATGAAACCGGAAGCTACAACAAACAAAGATGAGGCCTCAGTTACCATAATTGTTATTAATAAGCTAGACCATGAAGGCTTTAAGATCAGCTCAACTCACCAACTTTCGGTTGTTTTTCAATGGTTCTGCCCATTTTTTCGGAGTCACATAAGCTTTTGATAGAAGACGTGAAGTTTTAGCATTAGGCTCAGACTTGGAAGGCGTTTTGTGAATCCCTGCTCCCCCACGGTTGCCACCAGCAGAGGGTTTGCAACTTGCGTAGTTTTGTGTATCATGTATCTCCTGTGTTGAGCTGAGAGAATCATACTCTATTACAGAAACACTTGGATTTATAGCTCGATCATTGCTTAAAGAATGTCGCTTATTGGGCAAGGGCTCCGAAAACCTCGTCTTCTTCATATAATTGGGTTCGGGCCAGAGCGCTGGTAATGTATTGCGTCTCGGACTATTCAGTTTGAGGTGAATCTGAACAATGTAAGGCTGCAAATGAGGGTGACCAAGTAGCTCCCCAGCCTGCCAAATAGAATTGGGATCTAGTTAGATGATTAATGAAAAATTAGAGGTAAGGAATAAAATAGTATTGTATGCAAGAATTGGGGGACTACAACAGAACATTTGAAGGCAAAGGGCATAAAATAAAATAATTAAAAGTTTAGGTAGCAAAATGAAATAAGTATGACAGTTGATGGACGAAAATGCAACGTATTTCAATTGAATAAGAAAACAGGAGTATCAAATAATAGGTCAGATCAGATCACACTGAAAACCAAGATGGCTTTTCAAATGTGTTCATATCTGAGTAGAGTGTAAAAGGAGGATAATGCATACACTCGGCCGAAGTTCTGGGTTTTTGCGCAGCATGCTTTTGACGAGACCTCGACTGGAAACCGAAGAGGAAAGCGGTTAGATCGACAATAATGCAGAACAATATGAAGTATAAAAGGAGGAAAAAGGCTTACAATGCACCAGAGTATTTTGTTGGAAGAGGAGCCACTATGGACTTGTTAATTTTGTTGATAAGTGCTTGCATATCCTGCTCAAAAGACATGATGATAATCAGAGAAATTAAAGATATAACCATTCTACACAAATAAGCTTCAAAAGAAATTGACCAAATTACAATGAGGCCATCCAAAAGTCACCTAATTTCAATTATCATACTTAAAATAAGTATTTTTTTAAGTGCTAGACATTCTAAAATGCAATAGTCTTGGCTTAATTCCGAACCACAAAAATATTAAAAAAAAAACAAGGGCTAAAATGAAAAGACGATGAACATGTAAAGCGTAAGCATCAGATTTGGGAATCACAACCACCGAGATATGTCTACATAACTGCATTTATATCTATACTAAAGCATTTTGCCTCCCTAGTTGTCTTAACAATTCCACTAATTATGCTTGGTCCTGATTGGAATATTTGAACAAGCTCCGAGGTATAAAGCTTACCGTGGGGTGAAAAATGTGTTATGAAGAAAGGTGAAAAATATACCAAATAAATTGTGAGAAAACAAGTATAATTTCTAAAAAGTAAAAACGGGCCTTAATAATTTAAAATCTTTGTTGTCTCCTTTAGCTGCTTTGTGGTAGGTAAAGCAGACCAATGAGCATAATAATGTAGGGAGTGGGTCCCCCAATTTTGTCAAGAAAAAACAAAATCAAAACATTCACACTAATTATGGTTAGAATGGAGTTATCTAATGCTCATGAGCCACCAAAGTTGGAAAAGTTCAGAATCTATCAGCTTAACAACTTCACTGAACAAGAAGTGTAAAAGAATTGAATATCTTATGATAACATCAATCAAGCTCCCAAAGATAAGGAAATGCTAGAATCGACTTGTATCTGTCATAATTCCAGAACGAGAACAAATGACGTCGAAACTTACAAATGCTTTAAATGCAGGCTTTAGAGCAGTCATCTCATATATACAGCATCCTGGAAAACAGATGTAAAAAGTCATTTTTAGTCGAAATAGCCAAATAAGGTTCGTAGTCGAGTTCGGTTCTTCCTACCTAAAGACCAAATATCTGACTTTGAACCATAAGGTATATCAGCAAGAAGTTCCGGACACATATAGCTCGGAGTTCCTACAACCTGCGTTATCGCACCAAGTGTTTTAAAGGACAATAATAGGATATCACAACAGTAAAAACTGTTAAGGATCCCACATTGAAAAGATAGGGGACCTAACAATAGTTTATAATAGACATGGACTACTCTTCTTATAACCAATTGGTTTTGAGATGAAACCTCAKGAATATTAATACACAACTAATAAATTGATCAATTGATGTATTATTGGTAACAGAATTTCTTATGAAAAGAAAGTAATGCATCGAATTTCATACGGAGGAGGCGAGATCATCTGATGTCAACATTTTTGCTAGTCCAAAGTCACCTGTTTCACCAATGTGAAGTTTTATCAAAATTATGTTCAATCAACAGCTGTCCTGAAATTTGATTATATGTATATTGGTTGTGTGGGAGGAAAGATTTTACGTACCAAGGCGTATGTCCCGATCTTTAGTCAAAAATATATTCGAACACTGAACACATTAGATATTGATAGTTAGGAAAGAGTTTAACATGGTTTGCTTTGACATAACAATAAATCCATCATAAAAGTAAAAAGACAATAAAGGTTAAATGTAGCCATTTTCAATTCCATCCCTAATCTTTCAAAACGTTCAATTTCATCCTTACGGATTAAATTATTTTCCAATTAAATCCTTATTATCACTAAAAATTAAAGAATGGTGATATGTGAATTTCAAAGTGGCTATTTTCTATAACAATAAGCCATTTTGGGTCGGTAAGTAACCAAGTACGAGGTCACAGGATGTGGGTAAATTTTTTATTTTACGGGCGAGCACGACTATTCATCAAATTAAAACAGATGGTATTTCTAACTCAGTCGTCGTCAATAATTTTAATGTTATATGTCACTAAGGACTAGATTGGAAAAAAAACAATACATAAAAGGATGAAATTGAAACTCTTAAAATTTCAGGGTTAAAATTGAAAAGTAACTCAAACATTAGAAACCGAATTATATAGTTAGCCAAAAACAAATATGCATCGAACCTTAACGTCCCGGTGAAGGATATGATTCATATGCAAGTAATCGAGTGCCATCAGAAGTTGAACTAACCACTTGCATAGCTTCTGCAGAAGGAAATTAAAGATGAATAAGAAAGATGTAAAGGAATTAAAAAAAAAAAAAACAAAGGAGATTTTTAGTGCTTTACAATGATCAAACTATGCATTAAAAGCAATAAATTTGGTGAAATTGCAACAATGTTGATAACATTAAAATAAAAACCTCTTCCGGGAAATGAACGCTGCTCGCTTTTTTTATTGCTTCAGCCCTGTAGAATTCGAAAAAAAATGTAGCATAGATGAATGAGTACTACAAAATATAGTGATCAACATAATAAACATTCAGCTAGAATAAAACTTACATGTCTCCTCCTTCACAATAACCTATAATAATGCACACATAGCAACCCTGTCGTTAAAGAAAAAACGGACTGAAGTTAGACCATATCATTACAAAGGATGAGCTACCATCGATGTCGTTAAACCGTACAGGTTTTAAGTGTAGATGGCAACATTAAACAACATTAGTTATAACCAACAGCCATTTAAGCTTGATTTACCTTCTCGACCCAAGAATCTTTGTACTCCACAATAAATGGATTTCGTAATCTAGATATGAGCTCCATCTACGAGAGAAAGGGAAACGGATTAGTTTGGAAATGACCGTAATGTTGCCTACGAAACCCGCAAATGTAATCGAAATCATGGATGATCTATGCTTAGCTCTCAATTTGGTAAAAGTTCTTGAATTAAGAAATACTTCCCCAATGTTCACGTGAAGTGAAAGCAAGTCTAAGGTTCTTACGCTCATTGATTGTTCTATAAAAGCATAACTTAAGCTTTACCGAAAAAACACACCGAAATGGTTATTATTGTAGTAGACAAGAAACCAAACAAGTTGTGAAGCACAGCAGACAGTTATGGTTGTAGAAGAGAATCTAAACGAGTTATAACTTATAAAGCACACTGTAACAGCATAAGAATCCAACTAAAAATCCAGACAAGTTATTAAAAGCTCGAGAAACATGTCGAGTAAAGAGCACCAACCTCTTGGTGTGCAGATCTACGGGACCTATCGGTCTGACGAGCAAGACGGATCTTTTTCAACACATACCTTAATATATAAACATCAGCATGGTCAAAACCAAAACAATGCACCCAAAACAACATGTGCTACACAAAATTTGAAGTTTTCAACAGAAGAGATTAGCAAGAATAACATGAAAATAAAGTAAAATAAAAGAACTTGGAACTGCATTTTCTTACTTCTTCTTTTCATGCTTATGTCTCACAAGAAGAGCAGAACCAAAGGATCCCTTCCCTATTTGCTCCAATATTTCATATTGCTCCATTTGGACAGTTTATAATTCCCCCTTTCTCTGACTATACAAAAAGAAAAAGTATAATTACATAACAGTCTCAAAACCTACTTTAAGAAGCTACTCTTATCTGTTTTATGCTTTTACCAAGCATAAACTCAATATTTCAAAGGTATAAGAGATGGAATCTTCTAGAATTTCAAGTAAGCAACAAACACATTATCTAAGAAATCACATTGAATCATAAGGATTCCACTCAAATTTACCTTCCAAAAAAAGTGCTTCTTATCTTCAAACAAAGCCAAAAGAGCACATTCCTACTAACCAATCCACCAAATTTATAAGATTCAACCCAAAAAGGCAGAAAAAAAACAGAGGAGATGTAGAGAGAAATTGAGGAAAAAAAACTCTAAAAACTCATAAAAGGGAACATTTCTCATTTCAATAAGAACACTGAGAATGTTCAGCTCATTTCAAACCAAAATATATAAAAAATCCCCAAAAATCTTGAAACCCCACATTTCATTTCTAAGTTAAAAACCCAGAAAGATCCAATGCACCACAAGAGAGAGAGAGGGGGGTACCTGAAATTTGAAGTAGCAATGTGGATCCAAGAGATTGAGGAAAATGTAGTAGATGAAGAAGAAAACAGGGTTGAGACTGAGAGAGTTACAGAGGAGAGAGGGAACGACACCGTTTCCCCAGCAGAAGGAGGACAAACAGAAGCAGAAGCTGAAGGGGAAGGAGATGGGGAAAGGCCTTCTCCATTGTTGGGTTTTTGTGTTATCAGAGTTTCAGAAAGAAAGTAAGAAACTTTAGCAGCCCCAAAGGAAACAAAGAGAGAGAGAAAACTGCAAGAGATTAAAGAATTACTTTTTTCCTCTTCCTTACTAAATGGGAGAGACTGGAGAGGAGCAGAGAGAGAAGACAGGATATGGGTGTGGATTTAAAGAAAGCTACATGACAAAATCTTAGAGAGAGAAAGAGAAGGACATTGGTGTGGGTTTAAAGAAAGCTGAAATTCACACAGTTCTAGAGAGAGAAGTAGCTTAGAGGGAGACAATTTAGGAATAGGATTGAATATTGATGTCTTCAAGATGCACAAAATAATAATATACTAATCTAGAGAGAGATAAGCTAAGTATTTAATAGATGACTACCATTTTAGAGAGGCCACCACCGAAAATTTCCAGTGCTATGGTTGTATCCATAAATTCTATTTTTAGTTATTATTGGACTAATATCATTCAAATTGTATGTAGTACTAAAAAAATTTTCGATGGTACTTTCGTAGTTCCAATCTTCATGCTATCGATTTCTTTTATAAATAATTCTTAAATATTATTGGACCAAGTAGTATAGAGAATTGTACATATCATCGTAATACAATAAATTTTTCGGAGAAACAATTTAGATAGATGGAGGGAGGAATTTTTAGTGCTCTATTAGTACTTAATCTCTTTATTTATCTATAAATTTTTTTGGTTGAATCTATTTGTTCTTAAATTCTACTGACATGACTTAAATGAGAGGTAGTATAGGAGAATTATACACGTCTAGACTATAATTTTTCTCTAGTAAATTTTGTTTTCAATGCTTATTGATCCCACTAGATTTTTTTTCCTTTTTTATTTATAGAGAATTGTAAATACTACCGTAATACTCTAAATTTATGTAAAAGTTAAAAGATTTTTTTTTCCCAAGAAAAGTTAGAGTCCAACTTCATTCCATAATTAAAAGGAAAGAAAAATGGGGAGAGAGATGAGATTGATGGGTCAAAGTGAAAGGAAATGGAAATGAAAGCAGTTAATGGACAGAAATTTAGGGGTGGCGGGTCAAACTGAATTAATCATAATGTGCTGTGAGAGCTCAGCTATAAAAATAAAGCAAAGATTAAAAAATAATTTTCCTTCTTTTAAATCAAATATGAAAAATGTTAAGATTCGATACAATTTCTTACCTATCTAATCGATAAATTAGAAAAATCAAATGTATTTATAATTTGTTATACAATAAAAATCGATACTTAATTTTAATGATTTTTTTCATGGCATGGTCTAACTTATTACATACTAAAGTTGAAAGACTAAGGACTCGTTTTGATAACGTTCCTGTTTCTTGTTTCTCATGTTTTGGAACACATTCTGAAAATTAGGTAGAAATTTTGAAAATAACCAAAACAATTTTTTTTCTATTTTTAATTTGTTACAAAACATAAATAAAAAGATTGTTTTATCATACTTAAGTTCTTCTATGTTTGAGTCATGCAATTAATTTTTCTTCATTAAAAATGAAGAATGAATAAGAACGTTACCAAACGAGTCTTAAATTGCTACCAATTTAAAAGTATAACGACTAAATCATTACAAATTAAAGTTTAGAAACTAGATTATTACTCCAACAAGAGTATGACCATAAGTATCTTTCGTTTGTAGAAAAACAAAAAATATATCTCATTTTCTCACGTCTAAATTTTAACGATGGTCAACAAAAAATAGTTACTCACCCATTCACGAAATAAAACTACATTCTAGGAGTGAGAGAAGCAATTTATAATGAATAGAATTCTGAAAATATAAAAGTTGGGATTTTGGAGAGAGAAATATACGTAAGAACTTCTCCTCTCTTCTGTTGTAGTGCCAAAAAGAGAAGCAAATTAGAGAGAGGTAGGAAGTAGAAATCATCATGATGGCCATGGGTGAAGTTTCAACAAAATTTCTAGAGAGAGAAAAACAGGAAAGTGATCAGTTTAGAGAGAGAGAGAGAGAGAGAGAGAGAGAGAGAGAGAGAGAGATCAAATGGTCAAAATGAGACTCATTGAGAATTTTTTTTTCTCCCTTTTTTGCCATCTTTGTGCTGTGAAAAACAGCAGCAGAAACAGCCATGGAATACGTTAGAGGAGCTATCTCTGTAAATATGTCAGCTTTTCTTGCCCTCTCTATTTTCCCTTTTGAATTTAGTTTCTTTTTTGCTTTTTGAATTGATTTTTGTATCTAATTTGTTTTGTTTATTAGGTGTGAGTTCTTGGGAATCTATGTAGGGAATCATGAAAGCAAATACAAAAAAGAAAAAAGATGGGAATAATTAGCAAAGGAAAAGAAAAAAACAACAACATAAAAATATAACAATTCCATTGAGCACATTTTCCAACACATTTTCAAATAAAAGGCAAAAACTTTATGCTAAATTTGTGACTAAGGATTAATGCAAGTTTTTCTATTATAAAGTATTGTTGGGTGGGGAAAATAAAATACATTCCATTCATTTTTTAGCAAAAGAAAAAAAAAAACACCAAAAGAAACATCATACATGTGACAATTTTACCTAGTAGATAACAGGTTTGAATATTATTTTGGTCACTGTATTATATAATATCCATTTAAACTTTTACTCGGTATGTTTTCAAGACGTCCATTTTGGTTTTGTACTTGGAAAAAATGACCATTTTGATCTTTATTTACAAAATTAACATAAATTTTACAAGTAATAGCAATTAAGAAATTTAATAAATAAAGTGTCATGTTACAATAGTCACATAGATTCACATGAACCAAACTCGAAAATACATGAACCGAAATAGTATTTAAAGTCATGCTACTTTTTCTGATGTTGATATCAAAATATTGTTGACAAAAGTTGTGCAAAAATCTTGGTTAGGTAAATGAGATAAGATCTTAGAGATATCTATTTGATAATTATTTTTCTATTGTAATTCAATAACAAATGTGTACAATTATAATCTTTTTCTACCTTAATTTTAACAGAAGGTGATTTTAACCTCCGAAAATATAATACGAGACGAGCACGAAGAATATATCTCAAATTTATTTTTTTGCTCTTTTTTTTTCTATTTAGTTAGTCTATTTTTCTCAGGTTTAATCAATCATTCATTAAATTAACAATTAACGTATTAGATCAACATTTTAATAATAGTGTTAAGAGTAATTACTTACCCTATTAAAAAAAACAATTCAAAGATGTAAATAAATTTTTTTAAGTAACTAAATAAATACAATTATATCATTTTAATAAAAAAAAGTAATTAAACGAAAAAAATCATTGGAAGGGGGAAAATAATGTGAACACTATTATTATAGGACTCACAAGACTACTACTAGAATTAATTAGCTACATCCTAACACCATGACCTTTTTGTAATCATCTTCCGTTCTCGTTACGATGACGAAAAATAACAATATTTGGATATCAAAATTTGACAATTTTTGAATTTTTTGGAAAAAAAAAATTATATCTCTTTCTACATTCATCTCTCATGCCTATAAAAAATGTAATAACGATCAATGAGAAATAGATATCGACCCTAAACATTCAAGGATCTTAAACTTGTAAAACTAAATCGAAGCGTGTGACACTCGTTCTCTTTAGATTGTCCGAATCAAAACTTCTCAAATGGACGAAATAGAAGAAGAAAAATAATATTATTTTTTTTTTGGGAATTTTGATATGTTTGGAGTTGGGAAAAGAGAGTAAGATTGAATAAGAATTTGAGAGGGAAAATACACATAAAAAGCACAAAAAGACATATAAGTAATAAATGTATAGGAACATTGCATGTGATAGTTCAGTCTAACATTTCCTTTAATATCTCCCCTCTTCCATTTCCATCACAAACTCTTTCCTCTTTTTTTTCTTTTTCAAATATAATTTACGGTTCAACTCTAATATTCTATGCGTGGTGGTGCTACTTGTATAACTTTAAACTCAACCATCATAAATGGTTCATTGGTCCAAATAGACTATAGTTGATTAATAATAGAAATTAGTTATTCCTTTGTGTTTTCTAACACCAAATATTGTAGATCAGCAGTTGCCCAATTAAAAAATTTTAATTGTTAAGTTATTCCTCTTAAAGATAGTTTCTCTAAAGTTGTATTTGAGTTGGTAAGTTCTTTTGAAAAGCTTTAAACTTCAAACTATTTAAAAATTTGATTTTGATCTCGATTGTGATTATAATATACTTAACTCTTATTTCATCTTAAATACACTAGTAGGAGGTCCATTTGTACATGTCGTGTTTAGAACTTGCATCCTATGCTATTTGTTTATTTTGATAAAAATGTGTAGTAACTAAATATTTAAAAATACATAAGTTTTTAAGTTTTAAGAAGAATAATTATTGTTATTATTTCACAAAATTCAAGTGAGCATGGCACGCACAAATATCAAACTATTGGGATCTATGACAATAACAAAGTTATTATTTTCTTATCCAAAGTCCAAACTCTTTATTTGTTATTATTAGTTATTTATTTATTTATTTATGTGGGTGACAAAATAAAATAATTTTATAGTAAGAGAGGGCCGACCAATACGAGAGGAGTGGGGCCCACCCAACTCTCGATCTGCAGTCAACCAGCTTGAGTCACGCGCCTTAATATCTCTGACGATTTCATTTTTTTAATCTTTTCTATTTTATTACATTTTTTCCTTTTAAATATTAATTTCGCCTTTTTTTTATTTTTTGAATTTTTCAAATATTTCGTTTTGATTTTTCTACTTTTAAATTTTGTTATTTTAATCATTGAATTATCAAAACATCTAATTTAGCCAACGTACTTTTAACGTAAATTCTATACAAAATGGAAGTTCTTTAATATAAAGTTATGAGTTAGATTTCAAAAAAATTATTGAATATATTGTCGAACTATGAACGAAAAAGTGGGATAGTGTTTGATCAAGCCACCAAGCTTCGATTTGGCAAGGATGAGCTAAGTAGCGAGCTCTGGATGATGCGCAGAGGACTTGCAAAACAGAGTGGAAACTCCGATGCTAAAGTCAGCAAATGCACAAATCAATTTGAGAGAAAATTGGTTGGATTGTATACCTTGAAATGAGGGAAATGGGTCTATTTATACGCGACTTCTCCGACAACCATCCCCGACAGTGCCTCAACGACTCTTTAAGGTTGCCGCGAATCACGGCGTACTGTTGTGGAATCTGTCGGAGTCTGGGGCTGAAYCGAGGTAAGACTAATAAGCTAGCCGATGTGATAACAGAGCATTTGAATATTTAGATCGGCTTGGGATACATATGAATGTGTTCGAGGTAATAAAACTTGAGGTTTATAACTTGCCATGTGTATTATTTATGTGAAATCCAGTCATCATAGGTCATGTATAAGAGTGGAAATCCTCCTCTAACAGATAGAAAAAAAAATGAGGGGAGCAAAATGAATATTTTAAAAATACATTAACTAAAAGGAAAAATTTTTTTAAATTATATAGCCTAAAATAGGCTTTTTACTAATATACGGATGGAAATAATTTTTAATGTACAATATAATTAAAGTTAATAATGTAAAATATAAAATAGATAAATAATAATATTATTTTGGAAGAAGAAGACAAAAAACCACCTGCCTGGGCTTCGATGTACTTCGTCAGCATTCGGAGTGGGTCCCACTTGAGGAAGTATGTTTGGTGACTGAGATATGGTGTTCCACACCCTGGATTATTCCTTTTCCTGCACCGTCTTTTGCCTATCCTCGTTCTTTTAATTATTATTCTTGTAGCACTCAAAATAAATAAATAAATAAAATTATCATCTTTCAGTTTTAATTCTAACAGCGTCTTAACATCATTATTAATATGGTATTAAATATCTATCGATATGTCCATTATAAGTGCAATATAGACATGAGGAGTAAATCAACATTTTCATAATATCATAAAAAATCGACAAAATATAAAAAATATCAACAAAATTTCACTAATATAGATATAATATTAATACTAATAAAACTATTATTCATTAATTTAAATATTTTTTTCTTAGTTTTTATTTTATAACTTTTTCAAAAATATCCATCGACATTGACATTTTATCGATATTTCCGTTGACATTTCTATGAAATTGAGACCTCGACATTTCCATCAACATCGATATTTGAAACTTTGGTTATTAGACACATATTGATTATACCGGGAAAATTTACAGTACTATACTCTCTCCCATTTCCACAATGAATAGAAGAAATGAACCACAAATCATTTTTAATACACTGCTTATGTGGCAGGCAGTAAATGAAATCGAGTATGGTATTCCCGCACTACTAGAAATTTTCACGATTATACCAATAAATAATAATTTGATACAAGAATGTAAACCAACTAGATAATAACAAATTATTAAATATTTATGTCTTTCCACTCTTATTTTATCTAATTAACCTACTCTATTTTATTATCAGGTCAATTTATTTACTTTTTATCGTGCAATTGAGAACAAGAGGTTTCAAACGTTTCCCAAAATATTTTGTATACAAGTCAATCGTCATTAAATAGATACGAGACATATCGTATACGTTAGCCTTTTTTTTTTCCCTTTTTATCGATACAAACTTCAACTTTTCCCATCTTAAAAGTTAGTATAGCAAGCTTTCAAATTACAAATGTATAGAAATCTTTGTGCTACTTGATATTATCATTTTTTTTATGAAGTTAAATGGCAAGAAAATATGTCATAGTCTCACCTTCCAAATTAATGTCACAAAACATTTGTAAGGTCCAAAAAGTCGAGGAGAAAAAGGTTGGTATAATTAAGGTACATTTTTATTCGTTTGAATAATACTTAAGTATTTATCCATTACACCATTTTTACACTAACTACAAATAAAAATTTGACAGTTTTTTAATCTTTTGAAAGAAGAGAAGAAATATCATTCTTTTTCTTTCTTAAACATAAAAAGTGTAACGACGGTAAGTTAAAAGATGAATGCTAGCTTACTAATAAACACATAAGTATTTTTCTCGAATTGCTTTGAAATGGGACACATTAAAGCCAACCTCTTTTGGGAGTGGGAGTTGATCATGAGTTTTGTTTCATGGGTTTCATGGCAAAAGCCAGGCTGGTGTTTCTCTCTCTTGCTTTGACATTCACAGTTTTTTATGGCTCAAAATCAAATTTCTAGAGGGAGAGAAGTCTTGATTGTTATGCTTGTGCACTAACTACACTTGTATTTGGGATGAATCATGGGGATATGTTTTTAAAAGTTAAAATTACAAATTTCCTACTTAATTAAACTTTAATGATTTTATATGTTAAGTCTTGAAGTTTACAAAGTTTGATCCAAGTATAATGGAGATGGGGATGAAGTTCGAATCTACGACTTTTTTGTCAGGAATATATATACTTTAATTAGTTGAGTTATGTTTAAATTAGCAAAAAGTTTGATTACGTTCTTAAACTTTTGGATTGAATTCTAATAAGATTATGGGTCGTCAACATTATTTACTTAAATATTGACATGATTCATTATAGATTCATGAATCATGATTTGAGATGAATATACAATAAGTGAGTCAAAAAATCTAGTTTAAAATGTGTTATGTCTGTTCAACCGCATCCGCTCGCTTTTGTTTTCTTTAGTTTGCCTACTCTCTTATAACATGTCATATATTACATTGTTTTTCCAAATAAGCATGACACGTTTAAATAGTGGCATTAACCATAAAAATTTATTACAATTCCTACTACCGTCAAATTAAAAGTATTATTTTTTTTGTAAGTATTTATGTTTTTTTTTTCCTTATCATCATGTTCTATTTAATAGAGATCTTAAAAAGTCCTTGCAACAATTAAAATCAACCTTGATAACTAGTTTTCACCGGTTAAACCAACTTTTGAAATCTTAATCCAATGACAAATTTAGAAAAAAAAATGTTTTGGAAACTATTTTTCTTATAGAATTTTAAAAATGTGTACATGTAAGAACTTATTATTGGCATACAATCATATCTTTTTTACGAACAAAATTATTATCAAAACTTATCTTAATTAATTTTTGAAAACCAACCCATATAAGCATACGTCATTATCGGACAGACCTTGAAAAATTGAATTTTTCGAGAGTTTATAAAAAGAAATAAGCATGAGACTTGAGAAGTGGTATCCACGTATCACATGTCAAACATAACTGAATCAACACGCTTTCTTCCGCTTTAACATTTATTAAATTTATATTTTAGAAATATATAAATTAAAATTAAAACCATTGACTTATTTTTCTCACGTTTGTAATAACATAAGACCTAAACTAAAAGATTTTAAAAGAGAAATAAGTGCTATGATCAAAGGGTCCCTTTTATTTTCCTTTTTACTTTTTAATTACATAATTCTCGCCCTAATTTGTCCCTTAATTTCAGTCCATTTTTTAGTGTAATTATTTTTAACCGTTAATATCATGATGATTTTAAAAAAAGCTAGTTAATCCAGTTCAAAATATTCTATATATTAGTTTTTTCTTCTTCTTTTTTTCTTTCCTTCTTCAATTCAAAAAGGTTGATTTCAATATTTTATACTGCATGGGTCTGAAATAATTCTTAAAATGTGAAGTGAATTAATAAACAAAACATAAAAAAAGGCTAAAATTATACCCTATGTCTTTTACTTTCGCCTGTGTTAATTTCGTCTTTATTTTTAAAAAATTCATAATCCATGTTTATTAGAAAAATTGACAAAATCAATTGAACTATTTTTGTTGGTCAGTTTGGTTTATTTTAAAACTATGAAATTGAAAAATAGTTAGTTAATTCAGTTTGGATAAATTTTATCTGTTTCAGTTAGTTCCATTTAATTTTGGTTAATTTGATGGTCAATAAGGTCTGTTTAGGAATCACAATATCATCTTTTTTTAATAAATCATACTTAAATCACTGTAGGTAAAAAAATTAACCAATGAAAATTCATTGGACCAGAACATTTTAAACCATATTTTAAAATTTAAAGAGTTGAAATGTCAAGCATAGAGATGATTGTTTAAAAAAATAAAAAACTAAAGATAATTTGTCCTTTTCTCTACCAACTTTTTTTTTCTCCCAAAAATCTCTTATACAAAAATTACAAGCAACAAGATCTAATAATATATAATACCATCTATTTTAAAAAGAAAAAAAAAAAAGAAACACTACATAATCACATCAATATCATTTTATAGCATAATATAAATATTATATATATTTATAGTAACTCAGGCACAAAATTTATAAAAATAACAAAATATAAACACAAAAAAAAAATCACCTCTCTCAAGTAGGACTATGTAAATTTAATAAACTACTGAGATAAAAAAAGTGAGAAACTTACCTCCTAATTTTTTTGTCAAATTCTTCGTTTGACGATCAATTCAACCTTCAACTTTCTCGTTAATTGGTATTTCTTATCTCGAACTACCCTGGAGAGGAAAAGGGCACGAAAGAAAGAAAACTCCGCCCCCTCCTTTCAAACTCAAGATGTCTTAAGAAATAAAATCTAAAGTTCGAGTACATGTTACTTGAAAGTCCTTTTTAATGGGTGAGACGAAAGATTGGTTCGTTCCACAAAGTTGAGCTTTATTTATAATCTATCAATAATACATCTCAATAATTTATCAAAAAGCATATAATGAAGAATTCAATAACTAGAAAGAAGAAAGATCATTTTTTTATCATCTGCAATAATAGTGAAAGAAGAATAAGATGTCTTTTTTTATACCTATTTTAGCTCTGTCACCCTTAAAATTATACTAAAAAGAAAAAAAATACATCACTTCCCATATTTAGGATTTTATGGAAACAGAAAAAAATTTCATCTTAGGGAAAAATCACAAGGAAATGAATTGATATCAACTATTAGTTGCTAAATGCTAATCAGCCTCCTGCCACCAGTCCATCCTAGAGAGAGAAAGTGAAAGAGAGAGAGAGAGCTTCAGTCCAAAGGAGGAAAGTTATGGGGAAACTTTCAAGCTCTTCAATACAGAAGAAAGCAGAGAAAGCTTCTGTGGAGCTCTTTGCTTGTAATCTTTTTCCAAGGCTGTTGCTGCTAAAGACTGTAACTCTGGACCCTCCTTGTCTTCCTTGTTTCTACCTCTCGTCAGTTGTGCAATGGCAGATGTACACTGGTTAGCAAAGAAAAAGAGAAGAAAAAATCAGCTCGAAAAAAGATGGGAATGCGAGGAATTCCAGGCCAACAGCTTTTGTTTTTTGTTTTAACACTGTGGTCCTTCGTACTTCCATTTATTTCATTTTAATCCCGACGTGCCACCACGTGGAACGAGCACTTGATATGTCATACGGTTTCACATCGATGAAAAATCTGAAGTGGCATCACGTCAACTTTCATAAAATGCCATGTCGTGTTTTGTTACTATTTTACCAGATAACTAATGAGCCGAGTAAATCGACATGTTTATGAACAGGGACTAAAACAAAATAAGTGAAAGTATATAGAGACTAGAATTACAGTTCAACTCTCTTTTTTGAGATAAAAGTTGAGCACGTCTTCACATAAAGGTTCAAAGTACAGAGGCAACAGAAAAGGAAAAGCACAAAACTCAACCGAAAATGAAGAAAATGTTCCATGACAGTGAAATGGGCATCAAATGATGGTACGTATTGGCAGAGAAAAAAGCTTACCAAGCAAATGCCAAACAGGGCTCTGGTATTTTTGCCCCCAGTCAATTCTATAGTAGATGCATAGTATTTCTTCGCTGTCTGAAGGTTTTCTACGCTGCCTAGTGTGTAAAGTACCTGTACTTAGAGAAATGATTCAAGTGATTACTTGAAACAAAGTTAAAAATAGTGAAACAAAGTTTAACTAACGGTTAGCTATTGCATGAAAGTCATAATAGGGGAGGGTGGCAAGTTTGAGCAAGGTATATTGATAAATGATACATGCCGAAAAAGAGCTACTTTCAAATATATATATATATATTTTTTCTCATAAAATCAGAGGCTCCACTTTGCCTACGCCAAAGCAGCTTCAAGCTTTAAATTATCAAGTTTCCACTCAGAGGCTTGGACTAGGACCCTGGAGAGAATGTCTATCAAACACCCCAAGCCTTTACCACCAGGGTCATCCCAAGGTGCTCCTAATTGTGTGTCCCACGTAAAATTTTTGGCCTAAAATGCAACCTAGCCCAAACAATTCAAACACACACATCCTACAGTGTCAGTAGGAAAGGTGAATGAGTCCATTATCTCACCACCTAATGCTAATAACTTACCTTGCTTGGAATGAATTCAGCAGAAACTTTAAGGTGATTCCAACCCAAACATAAAAGCTTGAATTTGGGATTAAATTCTTGCTTCTTTCCAGTCATCCAAAAACTTCTTGTTTCTTCCCATCCACTAACACCCAAAAATCCTCTTTCCGCTTTCCATCCTCCTCCTGGAAGAGGTCAATAGAACTATGGTTGCCAATGCCAAGTAAGTATGATTTAAACTCCTGAAGCACTTCCTTAAATTTGTGTACTTTCTGCACTCTATCTTGGGTATTAAACATCTATAAGCAAGAGATCAAAGTAATAATTTCACTTTTTCAGGTACCTTTCCATCCCAAACCAGTTTAATCAAAGAGTATAATTTTGGAGCTCTGACATTCAGCTTT